CGCCTAAGCAGCGCAACAGATGCTGTCGAGTTATGCTGAGGGCTAACATCATTTGCAATGAAAAGTAGTAACTAAAAATTATCCGGTCTCCCTTGGCCCGATATTATACTCTAATCTTTGAGTGACTGCCCACATTGACTAACCCTTGCAGATTGCATCCAGAAATATCCGTAATTTGTGCAACGCATCACAAGTTAGTGTGTTGATTTTTAAAGGCAACTGGATTTTTTTCACTCTCGCTTACCGTAAACGATTTAGGTCTGTTGCACACGAAAACTCTGTCGAGAGCTTGATCGATATTTTGCAAACATATAGTAATAGCTTGCTTCTCTTCGAGCTTCCGAGATTGATACTTTATTTCGGCTTACGTTTCGGCGCACTCGCCTTCTTCGGAGCCTTTACAAAAGCCGAGAGCTGGAAGGCACCCTTCGATGGAATATTTTGCAAACAGTTACACTATTTCTTCCTTAGCTGTACCTGCATGGACAATATGTTGGCTCAACTGCAAGGGTCTGTTGCATTAAACCAAACCTTTTCACGTGAATGTATATATTTCAATGGAGTCCTAGGCTTGAACGAGAAAGGTGCGAGAATACGCTATTCTCGGAGCTAAATTTAAATGAGCTTCTTGAGTATGTTTCTAAAAAAGGTGCACCACAAATATTGTAGAGCCACTCAAGCAAAGGAAAGCCTAGGAAACATCAACGTTTGAGAAGAAATGCAAAATGATCTGCAGTTTTTGACTAAGGATTCTCTTCTTTAACATCTTCTTTAAAGGACGAATTTACGATGAAAAGGCAACCCATTTCAAATTGACCTAGGGAAGGTGGACGAACATATTTGGTGGGGGTCACCAAGTGATAACGACTGATAAGAGCAGATAAGAGGCGCCGAAACACAAATTTCACGAAATTCATAGTGCGCTTCGCAGCAGTCGTCAGGAGCTGATTTTGGGGCATGATATAGGGGGTGGACGGGAACATATTTGGTGGGGGTCACAAAGTGATAACGACTGATAAGAGCAGATAAGAGGCGCTGAAACACAAATTTCACGAAATTCATAGTGCGCTTCGCAGCAGTCGTCAGGAGCTGATTTTGGGCATGATATAGGGGTGGGACGGAACATATTTGGTGGGGGTCACAAAGTGATAACGACTGATAAGAGCAGATAAGAGGCGCTGAAACACAAATTTCACGAAATTCATAGTGCGCTTCGCAGCAGTCGTTAGGAGCTGATTTTTTGATCCGGAGTCCGACGTAGGCAAAATGTCATTTTTTTTTGCCCCCTTCCCCCTGTATAGTTCACAGTTCCGCCGAATAAAGAATAAAAATGATTGTTATAGCTTCGCATCCACATACAAAGAGGGTGCTGTCACAAGTTCACTTCCGTTCTACATGCGTACATGAATTATTACCTGCTCCCATTTCCGAGATTAGGTCAAGGTTTCAGACTTGGCAAAGCCGGCCGAAAGGGTGTTTTGACCCTCATAGCAGAAATACCGCACTAGTTCGCCACAAAAACTCTTGGCACGCAAGCTATGCGTAAGCGCGTAAGGACTAGCATGCGCAGTCTTTGATCAGTAGTGACCAAACTAGCGACAGGTGCTGGCGAACTCACTTAGGCAATTGAAGCAGGTGTAAAGCATGTAAGGTTTGCGAAAAGATATGCTGCCAAAAAAAACCGTGCTCAAGGCCTCTGGCCTGCGAGACTGAAGTCTTGCCACCAACACCATCGTACCGCAAGTAACCCCCACGCCACGCTTTATAAGAGCTCTACCGGGGGATTCCATCCGAATGCAATGCTGGGGAATCCTCCCGCGACCTCGTTCAGAGCATCATTTCACTGATTCGGTTAGCAGTTTATAGCTCTATGCCTCAATAGAGAAATTCATAAGTGTACACCTCACTGCAATTGACTGCATCGATCTGAAGGCCTTCCTTGCTCAATACGCAGGGGAAGAATCTTCAAACAGTTCTGTGTGTGGCGAAACTTGTTTTCGAAGCAACTCCTTCATCTGACAGTGAATGATGCAGGCGAGATCCGACCAGTTGGGGATGAGATTGTAATTGCTGAGTGATTCAAAGCTTATGTTAGTTTTCTGGTACAAGCACGTATACGCTTGCTTCTAGAGTTTAGAAGGAGAGAATGCTAGAAGGATGCATTATTTGAAACATAGAGAAATCTAAAACCAGGCAAACAGCTCGATCGGAATGATATTTATCTCTGAAATTCGACCCAGTAAAGTAGAACTAATGAAATCTTATAGACTTTCGTCATTTCAGCGGCGTGTACCATCTTCGAAGAATACTCCGCCATCAATCGCGCAATATTTCGGACAAATTCCCTGCTCACCAGGTGGTCCTGGTCTCCCTTGCGGTCCAGGTGCACCAGGATTTCCAGGCTGTCCAGGTTCTCCGTTTGGTCCATTTGGACCCTTTGGTCCCATTTGACCTGAAACGATGAGAAATGGAAGAGTCAGGTGTTTAATGACAATAATAACTAACCTGGTGCTCCAGGTGAACCTGGAAGGCCATCCGGGCCAGGTGGTCCTTGAGGTCCAGGTGGTCCTGGTGGTCCTGGTTCTCCGGGTACGATTCCTCCTGATGCAGCGTCTTCACCAGGAAGACCTGGGTTTCCTGGTGCTCCAGGATTACCTGAAGGGCCGGGAAGGTCCTTATAGCATACAGGTGCCCTGAGCCACCCCAAAGTCAGGCCAGTCAGGCGCCACGTTAGGGTCCAGGATTGCCAGGGTCCATTGCATTCCAGATGGTCCAGAGCCGGTCGCGAGACACGGACGGCAGGGGGAAGGTGTGATTGGCGCGCACCGGTGGGCTGTGCCGCGGGCGTCAGGTGCCACCAGAGAATTCCCGGAACTTCCGGTTTACCTGGCTCGACCAGTCTCCTGATGTCCCGCGGCCAGCATACCGGGTAAGCAGCAGGCTTCGCAGCGTGGATCTTTCACAACCACAAGCGACATACTTCCTTACCCAGCTTGGACGTGTAGTCTGTTAGCCGCCGGCAACTTCTTAAGATGGCTCACCTCCCTCAGAATGTCTTTGGCAGATCCCTGAATATTTCCTAGTGAATGCCACTCCTCGATAAGCATGATGTATGCATGACCAACAAAAGCACTTACCCTACAGAAATGCACCTCGTTGTGCATTGTGTATTTCACCTTATGTACATAGTTGTAGACCATCGGTAGAGTAACACAAACGGAGAGCACGGCGACTACGGAGAAGGTAACCGCCGAAAGGCGACAAGCGGTACGCCTTCACTCGGTGCTCCAGATCCATAGACGTGCTGCTCGAGTGGGCTGATCTAGTCGAGGATGTCTCCCATCAAACGACTGGCGTCTTTTATAGGGAACGCCATGGGCGCCCAATGTCTGACGCCCTCCCCTGCTGCAAGTCATCAGGCGGGCCACTGTGCTGAAAAAAAAGCACCGCGCTCATACGCGCCTGGGGCGACAGTGCGAACACCTCTCTTGGCTGGAATCCACTGCGCTTTATTTGATTCGGAAACCGGTCCCGCCAGCATCGGAACTTTCCTCCTAGAGGGATTCTGCTTCTTTGTAAAGAATCTCTGTCCACTCACATGACGCAAGAACTCTAACTCCTACCGAGCATTCAAGCTTCAAACAAGTACAAAGCGTTTGCAATCGAGTTCCATGTCAGATTCATCGCTTTGATTAATGAGGCTTTAAACTTTGTAAGCTGTGTAACATTTCTCCTTTGTTTTCCATACATGCACATGTCGTTTCAAACCTACATTATGACAACTTATTCAACCTTTGTTCTATAAGAGTCGTTGCGCTTTTTGCCCTTCAACTAAGTTCGCCTAAGCAGCGCAACAGATTGCTGGTCGAGTTATGCGAGGGCAACACCATTCAATGAAAAAAGTAGTAACTTAAATTATCCGTTCCCTCTGGCCCAATATGTATATCCAACTCGAGTGACTGCCCACATGACTAACCTTGCAATTGCATACCAGATAATTCCGTAATTTGTGCAACGCATCACAAGTTAGTGTGTTGATTTTTAAAGGCAACTGGATTTCTTTCACTCTCGCTTAACATAAACGATTGAGGTCTGTTGCACACGAAAATCTGTCGAGAGCTTGATCGATATTTTGCAAACATATAGTAATAGCTGCTTCTCTTCAAGCTTCCGAGATTGATCTTTATTTCGGCTTACGTTTCGGCGCACTCGCCTTCTTCGGAGCCTTTACAAAAGCCGAGAGCTGGAAGGCACTCATTCGATGGAATATTTTGCAAACAGTTACACTATTTCTTCCTTATCTTACCCGCATGGACAACATTAGTTGCTCAACTGCACAGGGCTATCTGTTGCATTAAAACACGAAACCTTTTCACGTGAATATTATTTATATTTCATGGAGTACCTAGGCTGAACGAGAAAGCTGCGTAGATACCCTATTATCGAGCTCTTAAATTGATGCAGCTTCTTGTGTGTTTCTAAAAAAGGTGCGACCACAAATAGTGGAGATCCACTAGCAAAGGAAGCCTAGGGAAACAATCAACGTGTTGAGAAGAAATGCAAAATGATCTGCAGTTTTTGACTAAGGATTCTCTTCTTTAACATCTTCTTTAAAGGACGAATTCACGATGAAAAAGCAACCCATTTCAAATTGTGAGTGGTACACGAAAGAAGGAAGAACCATGAGAAACGGCCCAGAACCCGAGAAATGGTACCCCTTCCTTGCCCGTTGATTCGAGCATTGATGCGACTCTCATCGCTGTGCCCTCTTCAACACTACGCTCTCTCAGCTATCTAATCACTCGCCACGTATTGAACTACGGCGAGTGATCAGATGATCGGTGGGCGGAGATCGCCGGACCCGCCAGCTTTGAGGCATGATAGGTCGCCGAGGTCAAATTTTTCCATGCGAATTGCGCGTCAGTTCGCACCCTCAGGAGGTCCGTGGGTCCCTCAACTAGGTCAGTTTCCCTTTCTTCGACCTTCATTCTAATCGTGAATTCCTCCTTTAATCAACCGTGCAAAACAAGTACATATAGATTTGACAAAGAACCATCGTTCGTCTTCCAATGGGATGGACTCGGACTTTCTTGCCTTCTGCACTTCGAGCAATTTGAGAACGGCGCTTCGATATTTCAACATTTCACTATGGCCTTCTCTTTCTTACGTCACATTTCCCCGAAACGTGTGCTTTCTATCTATCTCCAGATTAATCAGATCTTCAACGGCAATTTCCGCAGCAATTATTCGAGGGCCACTCAACAGAAAACCGATGCATAGATCAGATAAGCACGCAATGGCAAACCTTTTTTCATCGTTGGCTTCTGTGTTTACTCTGCCAGATTTCCACGTCTGGTCTATAGCATGCGTTCAGGATCCTTGCGCAAGTGTCCATATCACATTTGGACCAGATTTCCATCTATAATTACCCAAAAGAAGCAACTGGTGTGCATGATCCACACGAGTTGGCTGGTTCGGAAGGAAAATGCGTTTTGAAAAGCGATATGTCCTTATCCGTGCAACATGTTCTGGGGAAAAAATTCCAATCTTGTTTTCCTCTGCTATTTGCGAAGCATTTGAACTCGTTTGAAGTGTGGAAACCCACATATCAAACCGTACGCACTGCCGAAACGTTAAGCTCCGAACGAACCATTTGTCTTTGTGTTCTTTCAAAAAACGCTTTCGTGAAACCCACCATTCGAAAACTGGATGAAAACTGAGTTTGCGATACGTAGACCTTTGATTACACCACGACTGAGCAGGCCGTAGGTTCGGCAGATGTCCTGCGCATTGTAAGAGAAGATGCACAGGTGCCAATTTGTCATTGTCAAAAGATATAAGTTTTGCAAGTAGAGAGAGGCTCATGAAGATCCTACTTTAAGTAGTTTTGAGCAAATTTAGGGTTTTCAAAACGATCGATGAGTGCGGAGATACGAGTGATTTTTAAGCAGTTTTCGATTGTTCTTGGAAGCCTTGTTCACTGATGTCGATCATAGCAACTTCAGGGCTAAATAGGCACGTTTCCATTAGCCGTGTGCGATCCTTATTTTTGCGGTTTGGTGAATGTTGCCCTCTTATCGCACTCTAGCTGCTAGCCGGTCTGTATGAAATAAGGCCATTTATTTGCGGGTAATTGGCCGGTCACAGCACCGAAAGATCAAGTTCAGTGTGGACTTCGCTTCAAATTGGCAGAACAAAGTATGTTTCGTGGATCCCACTTGATCTATTGCGCTCGCGAACGGGCATGCTGTTTTTCGGTATGAGATGTCATCTTCAATCGTAGTGGGCTGTTTATGGGATACTCAAATTGGTCTCACCTCCAACGGTTTTTTTCTTCCTTCGATACGTTCGGATTTTGACCAAATCCATCTGAGCATTACAAGGCCACTAAACTTCTTGGGATTCGATGGTTTTAGAGCAACAAGCCAAGTCACCCTCACTCTACTCGACATCTATTCCGATGCAAATACTACCAATTCGTGGGCAGGCTCCTCTAAGACCAAACTGATGTGGTTTGCCCACGAATATAGAAGTATAGGTACGAGTGTGCCAGCAGCAAAGAAGACGAAAAGGTCTTTCGAAAATATTCAGGTTAAAGGAAGTGATCACGCTGGCTTCGAGGTCGGGCTGCTACCCACGCGTTTAATAACCGATAAGAGCTGAGAGAGATGATGGTTGTGGCACGAGCGTAAGCCCATGGAGATATTGAGTACAACGAGAAAGAATGTGCCGCGCTGGATAGGGATGATAACAAACAACGGTATCTTTTCAAGTACGCTGCCATTGCACCTCCTTCCAAGTCGATACGTAGGTGCTACCCTAAAGTGGGTTTTGGTGCCTCACCATGCCGCTGATAGAGACGCAACAATGCCCTGCTCTCCGTCTCATGTTACTCGATCGAGGAGATAGGGGTAATGTCGAGGCACCACGGTGAGAGTCACAGTGAGAAGAATCTCCCGTAACTTCTTTCAGAGAATCGTTCCGCAGATATGGAAAGCGAATTTGAGCCCTCAGTTCGCAAGACGCCGGACAGACGGGACTGTATGTTTCATTACGAATGGTCAACCTGACCAAATGACCATTTCTTGTGAGCTCAAAGGTAAGGTTCAAGAATAAACCATGAGGTAATTCCACTCAAATGAAGTAGGGTAGGAAGTGGACCGCCAGTGGAGAAAAAAGAAAAAAAATCGTGAAATGCACAGGAAATACGAGCCTTTTGCTCTACGCTGCGGAGAAGTTCAAAAGGCCGGCAGGGAGATGAGAGATAATGTGAGCGCGGAGAGCGCTAGAGAAGTACGAGTAGAGAGAGCATAGCAGATCAAGTTAGCGACGCAGACAAGATATCGAGCGGTGGGCGGAGCGTGTCGCAACAGGTGGAGCGTGTCAAAGTTCTTAGCGCCTAGCGTCTAAATAACGCTTTTCGAAGTAGGAAGGTGACCTCACCTCTTGCGTACTCTAGCGCTTCTAGCCACCGTAAAGGCTCATTAAGTGGGTCTGAGCCCGAACCTTGCCTGTTAAGAGAGACTGAAGAGGAGAGCTCATGCAAGCCAAAGGGCGCCAGACAACAGCCTGCGGTGTGTGCCACATCACGATTGTCCTCTAGGGCTGGGCTCTGTTATACTTACCGAACGAAGTACGTCTTCTGCCTAGGTATGCTTTTAAGGTTCAGCCTTTACGCAGTCGAAAATGCACTCTTCCTAGCGAATTTACTGAGGCTGTAAATTTTTCCCAACCCTTTCATCGAGTACGCCGACAGAAGCTATGACAATTCGACTAACGAAGTCTTCCCACTACCTAAAAATGTCACTTGAAGAGCGTCAGGGGAAACCCAGAGAAAAGAACGAAAAAGTTTACGACACTTGAGGTTTTTTCCTGCGTTGGAAAGCCTGAATGAGACGATGCCTGCTGACAAATGCCTTTACAGCAG